ACTTTAACTGCTTCTATTCTTGAACACTTGATGATTATCTAATCAAAATAAAAGCGCAGCGCTGAGTCTAGGAGAACTCACCGGTATCACACACACTCCGGACACATCGTGTTCAACTCGAGCAGCGGTCTAAAACAGTTTATTTAATCACCAAATGGACACAAGTTTACTTCAAGAATTAACAATTTGGTATAGATGAGTTTGAAGTTCGGCGTTTAAAAAACGGAGCAAACGGAAAGAGAAAGCGCAACCTATATTATAGCTCTATAAATGAAGCACACTACTGAAAATGCACAATACACAATTCATTATGTACATTAACAACAATTCGGGACCAATATAATGTAATTTAATGGAAAGCTATGTGAATGGCGCTCTGTGGCGCGGCAGGATTTTCTGTCGGCTGCATTTAAATCCGCGTCTGAAGTTTCCCGCTCTGTTCAGCGTGCAGTATCACGTGTCTAAACAAATAGCACGTGCTGTCAGTGATTTCAACCACTAGAGGCCGCTCTCGCACTGTGTAATGACAGCAGACCCTTTTCAGCCGCTCCAGCAATGGATGCAACCCAGAAAACTATCGGCATGGATTTTTGCCGATAACCGATAGTTCCAGCAATCAACTATCGGTGCCGATTATTCGGCAAAACTGATACATCGGTCGACCTCTACTAAAAATGCTTACCTCACACTTTTGAATGGTATTAGAAGGATTTCTGAAGGATCATGTGACACTGAAGACTGGAGTAATGATGCTGAAAATTCAGCTTTGATCACAGAAATAAATTGCATTTTAATATATATTCGCATAGAAAACACTTATTTGAAATTGTAGTAATATTTGACAATATTACAGTTTTTACTGTGTTTTTGATCAAATAAATGCAGCCTTGCTGAGCAGAAGAGACTTCTTTCATTAACAAATCTTTATTATTTGAATCTTTTACCAGTAGACTAAATGTTGGTTCTGTTGTAGTCGAGCAAAAAAAAAAAAAAACACATTTGGAGCGAATATATATAAGCTAGAAGGTTTTATTTATATTTTGATGTTTAAACATCAAACTTGACCAGTCCAGTCAGTTATCAAGTCCCATCCTTCCTTTATGTCTTTTCCTCAGTAATTATCCTGTCTCGTTTAGTAGTGTGACACATTACAGAAGTCAATCTGTTTGCATATACCAATGTCATGTTGATTTTTGATTTATGTGCCTCTTTAGGGAAAGTGGGAGGTTCCTCTACCGAAGGTCCGAGCCCAGGGCGAAACCGAGGTTCTGAAGGTCATCCGCACAGGAAAGAGACAGAAAAAGGCCTGGAAGAGGATGGTGACCAAAGTCTGTTTCGTAGGAGACGGATTCACACGCAAACCACCCAAATATGAGCGCTTCATCAGACCTATGGTAAAATATATCACACGCACTCTCAAGCTGGGCTGTATAGATCAAAATAATATCTTGAGTGAGTTGACACAACAGAAAGACCAAAAAGTTCATATTACTGTACTTTTTTTATTATTTAAAAATAATAATAATAATGCTTATTTTAAAAAAGATTTACTTTTTAGTATTTAAAGTTTTTTTTTAATTGTGATTATTATTTTGATTATATAACCTCATTTTTCTATTCATTTATTTTTTATTTGTTTTAATTAATCTTTTTTTTTTTCAGTGTGGTTCTGGTATACGTCTGTCAAGTCACTATAAAATAAATAAATAAATAAAAATGCATAGTGAATATAGAATGTATTACCCAGCCTTATTACACACTACAGCCATCAAATATGTAAATATTTGTTAACACTTCACAATAAGATCCCATTAGTTACCTTTAGCATTAAAATTCAAATAATATATTTTAATAAAATATAAAGATACATTGTATTTTTAAAAGTTTTTAACAAAAGATATACATTTATTTTATTAAGAAAATGTTACTATATTTTGATGTAAATGTAAATGGAGTGATTTTACTGTCTACAGGGTCTGAGGTTTAAGAAGGCACACGTCACTCATCCTGAACTGAAGGCCACCTTCTGTTTGCCCATCCTGGGCGTGAAGAAGAACCCGTCCTCCTCCCTCTACACCACTCTAGGGGTCATCACCAAGGGGACGGTCATCGAGGTCAACGTCAGTGAGCTTGGATTGGTCACGCAGGGCGGGAAGGTCATCTGGGGTGAGTGTCTGATTGGTTCTTCCCTTTTTGTGCTCAAAAACGTGTTTTGCAGAATGAAAGACTGAGATATAATCTTGTGTTTCAGGTAAATATGCCCAGGTGACGAATAACCCAGAAAACGATGGTTGCATTAATGCCGTTTTGCTTGTATAATGGAAACCTGAAACATTTGATATAGAACTGTGCCTCTGAGTGCAGCACTAATGTGAAATACTGTTGTCATCAGAAATCATCTTGGAAATCATAAGAAAAGATGATTTGAAGACAGTTGATGGGAGTTCCGTCGTCACATCTGGACCCAAAGCATGTGGATCAGAAATAAAGTGCTGTTTATTTTCAAAAAAATTGTTTCTCTTTGCATACCGTACTGCGATACAGTGATGGTGTCACAGCAATATGATGTATTTACATGGTATCCTAGGACACTTTCGTTCCCACCTGCCATTCAGATGCCATAAAACGTCATCATTTACAGACTAAGTTACATTGTGTACTATTAAACCCTTATGGGATAAATATGGCACTAAAATGAAAGTCTATAAATCCAACAAATTCTGATTTTATGATTACAAATTGTTAAAATGATCAAATAAACCAATTTGGAGTAGACGTAGAGCTGCGCGTGCATAGTGGTGGCAGAAAAACACTGGGAACAAGTGGAGGGAATACAGGTCAAATCCATGGAATAAGAGAAAAAATGTTTTGTGCATCAGAATCGGAATGCAAATAATTTATATGTAACACTGTCGTCAAAGACGCCATTTGAAGCTAAACGCAGACGTTTAAATGGACAGACTATGGATGAAACCTGCTATGATTACCTTACTTTTAAAGCATAAATTTGATTTAAACAATAGGTCTATATAATATTCATATAGGGGACATGTTGTATTAGCCCTACAGTTGAAATACATGCATGAAATATTATTTAAACCTATAACATTTTACATAACATTTACCTATTTTATCTCACAATTCAGACTTTTTTTCTTGCTAATGCAAGTTTATATCTCCTAGTCCGGACTTTATACATTTATTCAAGTCAACAATTGCGAGTTTGTCAATTCTGAGCAAAAAAAGCCAGAAGTGTGGGATTATAAACGAAAAAGAAAGAATGACGAGTTGATTTTTCTTACCAGAATTGTGAGATATAATCTCGGAATTGCAAGAAAAAAGTCAGCATTTTGAAATATAAACTCAAAATTACATTTTTATTATTTTATTCCATGGCTTGAATAGATTGCTACCTTAAAACTGTCATTTTCTGCCACCAGATAGGCTCCGCCCACAAAAATGTCATTACTGTTTGCAAACACTGAAATTGGTCTATTAGGCATGTGTTCAATTATTGGCCAAGTTCATAAGCTCATTTATTCTTGGTAAACCTGGAAATATCAGGACATTTTAAAATTGTGATTTACAGAAAGTGACTTTTTTTTTCATTTTGCAAAATTTTACATTTTTGGTTTTGCTCTGCTCAAAAATATTTAATTGCCTAGAATTTTGTAATAAACTTGACACTCGTTAGTATGGAAGCCTGTTTTGCCATGGGATAAAAAAAATTTAATTGTAACTTTTTCTCTCACAATTGTCTTTTTTTCTTGCAATTCACTTGCAATTGCAAGAAAAAAATAATTTTGAGAAAGTCACAAATACCTCTTTTTTTTTTATTCTACACTGGAGACATTTTTATACTCTGTTCATTTCTAGAATCAGTTTTTGATATACAGTTGTAAATGAATTTGTAAAAGTATACAATAATAAAATTCTCAAGACAAATCGAGATCATAAAGCTTTATCAAAATCAATATGTACATAGTATCCTTCAAGTATTTTATCTTGGCGCATCTCAAAATTAAAGTTTCATAAATGTCTCAAATCTGAAAATATGTTCAAACCAGATCATTAAATAATGCAGAATAATTATTAATTTAAAAAAAGGGTTCATCGGCTGTATCCTGAACTCTTGTAAGATAAACAGGCACTTTGATTTACTTCAATCAGAACCAGTGGCACATATCGACAACACGAATATTAATCCTGACAGTGATGCATTGGAAAAACAAATGATCTTTTAAGTTTCAATGGTCATCAAGTTCTTCATCCGCAACTAACCATGACATTTTTTTTTTTTTTTAAAGGCAGAAATGTATCTGTGATTTCAAGATAAAGGCAAATTAAATTTTCCCCTCACGATAATACAGATGATTATAAAATCGCTGACAGCCAGTGTTTTTAGGAGCTCCACAATGTGCAAAGTCATTTAATAAAAAGCTTCCTCTGCACCTTCATCATCTTGGAACAGAAACGCCCTTGAGAACAAGGACTTCAGCAGCTGACATGAATAAAACAGTCTCCATTAGTGTATAAAACAACTGTGATTGAGTAAAAACCTCCCTGGCAGTCTTTGGACAGCTTGTCATTCAGTCCGAGAAGCAATTCTGCAATTCCTTCGATTGCAGGAGTCGTTCTGTGAAATAAAGCGCACAGAAGATAACAGGTTTGCTGTCTTGAGTCTTTGTTTTTTCCCCTCTCGATCAAACATAGAAGTCCAGTCTGGCGGGAATGCATAATTATTTAATTAAATCGTAGCGTTTGTGAATTCACAGTTAATTGCTTAATTATGTGTTATAATGTGCTTATAATTATGGGTTTTATGGATTCTCGTCTCTGAAATGCGCCACTTCCGGTATTTTGCCAGTTAGTCGACGAGAGCAAAATGAAGTCGAGGATTTTAAAAAATCGAATAGTCGAATAGAATTGACGAATTGCGACAGCCCTAATTTTGACCCCCCCCCTCTACAAAGTAGTGAATTACTCAGTGAATGACATTTAATATTTTGGCTTTCATCACTATTTATGTTTGCCTTTCCTCAGAAAATATTAACAAAATCAAAACATTTTATATCAGTTTGGTTGATTTTTTTATTGTATTTTTATGTCTGTATCGCCCAGCCTGACAGCAGCCATCAAGCACTGATGACTAGTGACCGTTTGCTTTAATTACAGATTTAGAGAAATACAATGCCACTGACCTGAGGAAGATGAAGATGGCCTGTCTGTACGACACTCCGTTCAGGTTGTCGTAGAAGTCCAGGTAAGGTTTAATACTGTCGATCAGCCCGGGATGCATTTTATCCATTTCATCAAAGATGAACAGTGAACGCGGGCAGATGGAAACATTCCCTCGTATCCACTCTTGTAATTGGGTCTAAACACACACAAACAAGCTTTTAGTACAAATATGACTATAAAACATTTGATTTAATCACCACACTGGATGCTTTGTGTTGGTGCGGTGAAATATATGATGTCATTTCCATGTATTTGCATATATAAACTCATTACCTTGTACGTGTCAATGTGAGCCTCGTGGGGAAAGTGTGCTGTCGCTGTAAACAGGTGAACGAAGTTGCTCGTCATCCCTTTCTCGTAAATATTTTCTGCTATAATTTGGCTCACGAAGTTCTTCCCGGTCCCGGTCCAGCCGTGGAGGGACAGAACCAGCGGTTTCTTTGGGTTTTCGTTGTTCATGAAGCCTGTGACAGCTTTCAGGATGACCTGAGCAGCGACATGCTGCCCGTACAGCTTCATGTTGAGGTCATTCTTCAGTCCTGTGGACGAGAGGACTGGTTTACAGCAATCATAGGATTTATACACAACATCTGCACTTTAATTCATTCATTATGCACTGGACAACAAATTAAGTTTGCTTGTTTACAACAGGGTTGTTATAGTTAACTGAAACTAGTTACTTGAACATTAGGTAGTCCAGTCTAATAATAATAATAATAATAACAACAACATATTTTGCACAAAATGCAGAATCAATTATCAGTACAGTTTAATACAAATGTAATGAAAAATAAAATGTAAAAAAACACTTTTCTTTCATCTAAAAAGGATAGATTTTACAATAAAATAAGAAATAAATTACTTTATAAAAAGCATTAAATTAAATAATTGCCAAGGCATCAATTCTAATTTTCATTTAGTTGAACTTGATAACTAAAATAAAAAAACTGAAACTAAAATGAAATTAATAAAAACTATATAGGCATATTTAAAAGAAGAAAAAAAAAAAACACACACTCGACAAAATTACCAAAACCTTAAAGGGGTCATATGATGCGATTTCAAGTTTTCCTTTCTCTTTGGAGTGTTACAAGCTGATTGTAACTAAAGTCACAAACCCAAAGAGATATTCTTTATCAAAGTTAAGACTCTGCCACGCCCCCCTAAAACGGCTCGTTCTAACACGCCCCCACATATCTACCTCACTATGTGGAAATATTAGCATAATGCGCCCAAATGTTCACGCAAAGAAAGAAGGCGTGGTTTCAGTAACCGCAGTTAGTGTTGAAGCAGCATGTCAGTATGAAAAGATAAAATAAGACTTACACAAAACATTAATATTATATCAATTATGCACAAATAACGCTGGTTCACAAAGGAAAGAATAAACATCACACATATAGCTGTGTTTTTAGATGCACGTTGATTCAATTCACAATCTGCTCAAATCAAATTTACTCCAAATGAACAAATCATTGAGATAACAAGACAAGCTTCTTTGTTTACAATTAGAATTTGAAAATAAACGAATACATTTGGCTGCAATATTTGTAAAAATAACTACAAAATAATTATTTGCATTAAAAGAAAACATGTATAATACACAGAATCGTAACGAACGAAAGAAACAAATGTGCACAAGATGTGGATCGTGAGCTAGTGCACAAAGCACAGATAATACAAACACTGATCAAATGTTCACCTGTTGCTTTAAAGTTGAGCCAGTTCTCATCACACGTCTCGTATAAATAGTGATAGAGCTTCCTGCCCAGCACTGCAGCTCCTGTCCCCAGCAGCAGCGAGGTGGACACGGGCTCTATGGCCTCCACGAGCCGCCCTGAGATCAGGATGCAGTGCAGTACGGTTAGCCATGCGCGAGGCGGCCGAACTTTCATTTTACTAAACAGACCATCGATATTTTTAATTGGAAAATGAAAGGAACAACAACAACAACAGGTTCCAACTAACAGCCCCGCCACTTCCTGCTTGGGGAAAAGTGACGTCGTTTGCGTGCGACGCATGACGCAAGACGTTCGGTTCAATGGCGCACGTTGTTGCGTTTTGGTCTTTTTTTATTGCAATTTTTAGAACAAAGAACATATAAGGGCAATAACATTTAAACTGAATGAAAACAAATACTTAAAATAAATAAATAAAAACTAAATATGAAATGCAATAAAAAAAACTCACGTCTGTAAACAAGTACAAATAATTACAAATTATTCAAAGAATAGATTTAAGGCTTTAAAGTAATTTACAGTTTTTTTTGCTTTGTTATTTCTTGTTTCTTTTAACGTATACAAGTAGTGACCTATTTCTATTCTGAAATGAGTAAAATTAGTTTTTTCACTGGCCATTTACATTTGTGAATAAAGCATTTTCCATATATAATGAGTAATATACCAAATCTTGAAGTCAACAGTATGCTCATAAAAAAATAAAACATCCTTTTCTTTGAGTTGCAATTCAATATTAATACTTTGTTTAACAAAATAAAAACTAATCACACCAAAATAATTTTGCATAAATACAATCATAAAATAAATGAACAATACTCTAATTTTCCTCTTTACAGAAAACACACTTCAAGTCAATGTCTTTACAACACTTTGCAATGACCTGTTTTACAGGATAAATACGATGATTCAAGATTTTTTTATTTGTCACATACATGGTTATATATATGTATGCATCATGATGCACCAGCAGATGCATGAACGATCTTGTATGCTACTTCTCTAATTTTATTTGTGATACAAAGACGTCTGGAGATCTTAAAGGTTTCTTTCCAGTTGACACGTTGTTGCGTTTTGGTCACTGGGTCAAAACTGTGAAAATTAAGTGCTTGCCATGCGTTACAAAACACGTTTGCATATTATTAAATGAGTTATAATTTTTGTCTGACTCATCTATTATAATATATAATATAAATTACTTGCGAACAACTACAAGTCAATAAGCAGCATCACAACCCTGATCGTACATCACGGAGATTTACATTTGACATCTGCAAGACGTATCGTTATGAGCGTCTGCTCATCTGCAAATTGTGCTATCAGATGTCAAAAGACATTTAGAAGCTGTCTTTAAGATGTTTATGATGTAAAACTGACATCTTAGAGACGTCTATCAGATATTTGTACACAGCAGATGCTTTCCAGATCTTTAACAGACATCTTGCAGACTTATCTGTGCACAAAAATGAGCGCAATAATACATGCCTATATGTGCATAGCATAAATGCACTAGATATGAGGTACAATGCAAATATCAGATGATGTATGATATGTAGCTGTTATGATATTAAGTGTCAGGTGCATTATACACACACCATACAATACAAGTGTCTGATTAATATTAATACATTATGCATGTCTTGGCTGCCTATGTTTATGGCATTTAAATGCAGGCATCAAAATGGAATGAATTCATTGTAATAAAGATAAATGTGGATGTAATTCTTCGTGATATATGGAAAATGTGAATACCATAAACACGTTCTGAAACAACAAATAAAGCTCTCGCGGACCTGTTTTGTTGCATGAGATCCACTCCGGTCTGCAGCACTCCTGAAAGTAATAGAGCACGTTCTGATAACGGGCCAGGAACCCGGTGAGGGCCGCGGCCATCCCGACAGCGATGCTGGTGCTGATCGGCTCTATCGCCGCCGTGACCGAGAACCTCCACAAAACACAGCCACATTCTGCACTCTGACACCGAGCAGCGAAACCGATTCTAATCCGGTTTACTAAATAATGAAGAGCAACTTCCGCAAACCGAACTTCTCTCTCTCTCTCTCTCTCTCTCTCTCAATTTCAATTTAAGAGTGCTTTATTGGCATGACAAAAATTATACATTTGTATTGCCAAAGCAATTGCAGCTGGACTGCTTACAAATAGTGCACATATGTATTAACAGAAAGAAAAACAGAAAGAAGTGATGGGGTCTCTCTCTCTCATCTATTGAACTTGTGACCGTTTTGTTTTACTTTTTCTTATTTTGCTAAATGCAAAATTTTGAGTTTAACTCATTGAGTATTATATTGTTAAAGGGGTCCTATTATGCTCTTTTACAAAGTCTTGATTTTGTTTTGGGGGTGTACTAGAACAGGCTCTCATACTAGGTTGTTCGAAAAACACATTATTTTTCACATATTTTATATTATTACAGCACCTCTCTCCCCAGTCTGGCAAGAACGGCTCAAATAGTTCCTGTATCAAATGAAGGCCTGCCTTCTGAAATACGAAATGTGCTGTGATTGGTTAGCTGGGCCAGTGCGTGCTGTGATCGGTGAGCTGGGCCAGTGTGTGCTGTGATCGGTGAGCTGGGCCAGTGTGTGCTGTGATCGGTGAGCTGGGCCAGTGTGTGCTGTGATCGGTGAGCTGGGCCAGTGTGTGCTGTGATCGGTGAGCTGGGCCAGTGTGTGCTGTGATCGGTGAGCTGGGCCAGTGTGTGCTGTGATCGGTGAGCTGGGCCAGTGTGTGCTGTGATCGGTGAGCTGGGCCAGTGTGTGCTGTGATCGGTGAGCTGGGCCAGTGTGTGCTGTGATCGGTGAGCTGGGCCAGTGTGTGCTGTGATCGGTGAGCTGGGCCAGTGTGTGCTGTGATCGGTGAGCTGGGCCAGTGTGTGCTGTGATCGGTGAGCTGGGCCAGTGTGTGCTGTGATCGGTGAGCTGGGCCAGTGTGTGCTGTGATCGGTGAGCTGGGCCAGTGTGTGCTGTGATCGGTGAGCTGGGCCAGTGTGTGCTGTGATCGGTGAGCTGGGCCAGTGTGTGCTGTGATCGGTGAGCTGGGCCAGTGTGTGCTGTGATCGGTGAGCTGGGCCAGTGTGTGCTGTGATCGGTGAGCTGGGCCAGTGTGTGCTGTGATCGGTTAGCTGGGCCAGTGTGTGTTGTGATTGGCACCAGTCGGCGCCTGGTCGGGAAATGTCATGCCCCTTACCGTAGCCGCCTGCCAGCTTCAGTTTAAATATTGCTCAAAATCAAATCAATTTGAGCGCGATTTAAACCCGGATGATTGTAAACACTCTAAGTTCATCTGCCTTGTGAAAACTAGCGTGTATACGACATAGTGATAACACTCGTTGCCTTCTCTAGTGCAGCTCAACCAGGTCTCATCCCATTCACCGATCTTTGTGATGTCACAAAACCCAGAAAATATGCGTTGTAGTTCAAACGAGTCGTTAGTTGTAGTTTTTGAAAAGTAAATAAAATATCTCCTTCTGAAGTGGACTTTGAGCTTTGTAACTTTGCAGATCTTTTTTATGCTCAAACAGCAACATTACAGACTAACTAAAGTTGAAAAAGTGAAAAAGCATAATAGCACCCCTTTAAATACTTGTGAGAGAGACACAAGTTTTTAAAGTTTCCCCACACAAAACCATATATTATGGAATAATTCAGATTAAAATTAGAAATAAATCAAAATAGATTTTTTTGGGATAAATGGTTTAATAAAAACTAGGGCTGTCAGCCGATTAAAATGTAACAAATTCTACTGTGATATGATTGGCTGATTGAGTGCTGATAAGAACACCTGTGGCCTCTTATTAATTAAAACACATGTTGGTATGTGAGGAGTAGTATCTCCATTCAGACATGGCCTGTGTAGAATTGTGTTGTGTTGCTGATTATGTAAGTTTCTTCTGCTTGTTTATTTGATTATGTATAATGTGATTATTGTTTGTATATACTAATTGTTTCTATTTGTTTATGGTTTGTCAGAAACCAACAATTACCATCACTTGCCTACGATGATATGTTTACTCCTGCATGTGTCATTTAAAAGCCACTATTGTGTTAAATGAGAAAAGTAACAAGTAAACATTAAAGTAGACAAAAAGTAGCTTTAGAAATAAACATTTTATTTGGTTCAACATAAAATTTATTACACACGTGTTTAGTCTATAATGGCCTAACGTAAAGTCAAATACTAAAATTTGAGAAACATCTCAGTATTTTGTTTGTTCACAGTTAAATACACTGGTAACTACCAAAACAATTTTTTAAATAAATGAAATTGTCCTCTAAATAAGAAACTAAAACTGTCAGCAGTTGGCGGTAAATGTCTGAATAAGTCATTGAGTTATTAATTCCGCCACTTGAACTATAGACTGTAATTCTTCTTCCTTCCATTAATTGTATTCTGTATATATTTGATGATTCTGGTAACTTATGAGCAAATATGATGGTTCAGGTCTGTCAAAGGAATATAATACTTTGATAAAAACAATCCCAGTTTGTTAGTTTGTTAGTTCAACTAATTAAAAGTCAACCAATGTTGAGTGAGGGAAGCCTACATAAGGCCCATGCATGTGTGTTACATATACATCTTTAATTTAAATGATGAAGAATGACAGATTGGAAATGCTTTTTCTGTGTGTTAAGTATAGAAGTACAATTTGTTAGCAATGTGCTTGCAGCCCTGGTCCGAGAAGACATGCTCCTCTTTAGGGAAGAAGATTAGGTCATCAGCCATCTTTTTAACCACATTTTTATCTGGGACACGAAATCCACCATTTTTTTATCGATTAAACTAGTGTGCCAGAAACCACCTGTGGAAAGAGAGAAGAATTTGCCATTATAAAAGTAATTAAAGCTGCAAGAATCGATGACGGGCCCAAGCCATCAGCGCAATCGCAACCCCGGTGGCATCAGGAAAACAGTGCACAGCGGGCACGTGCATTTACTCTAACCCTCTGGCAGTCTGGTTTTAAGGGTTACAGCATTGAAAGGGTTACACTATAAAATCAAGAGTGTGAGACACACACACACCACAATATATAAAACTTTGGCAACACTTTACAATAAGGTTTCAGTTTTCAGTTAACATTAACTATATTAGTTAACATGACAATTATATATCATTTATTAATGTTAGTTAAAATTAAGTTTACAACTAATACATTATTCAAATTTAAAGTTGTATCTGTTAACATTAGTAAAAGGTGCAGTAAGCGATTTCTGAGAAATGCTGTTGATATTTGAAATCACCAAAACAAACACACCCCTACCCAAAATATTCACACCTCTATCTTGCCTCCGCCTCCAAATTTCTGAACATGCTATTCAACACAGGCACCTCCCCATCACTACTGGACACGCCCCTTACTGGTGATTGGCTACAAGTGTGTTTTGGTGCTCGGTCCAATCCACTTTCAACAGCGTTTCTTAGAAATCGCTTACTGCACCTTTAATGCACTGTGAATTAACACGAACAAGAATTTTTTTTATTAACAAAGGTTAATAAATGCTGTAAAAATGTGTTGTTAGTTTGTTAGGTAATGCATTAAATAATGTTAACAAATGAGACCTTATCGTAAAGTGTTACCAAAACTTGTATTGATCTATAAGCATTTGAGAAATATTTATATAAAACTATATATTAACTTATTTTAAGTATATGTTTGTCATTCTATCTAATTGAACAGAGCAGTAAAGGATCAGGCTTAAAATAGTTCTTATCCTATGAGTGAGAGAGGGTAGGATATATAAAACTTTTAATGATCTACAATCATCAAAATCAGACAATGTATGAGGAAGTTATAATACACTTCCTGTTTCTCATTTCTCGCGATAATTTTGTCGCCTCGCCATGATCAAAACGTTCGAGATCAAAAATCCTTTGCAATTTAGCATCCCCAATGTCTTGAGATCACGTTGACCGAGTTTGGTGACAATCGGGTACAAAACCTAGGAGGAGTATATCAAATGCCAGAGCATGTGCTTTTTACACCGCTCTGAATAGCCAACTTCCTGTTGGGTGGAGCCTATGACATGCAGTGCGAAAGTTGTTCAGCTCAATGAGATCTATATGTGTACTGAATTTCATATGAATACATCCAAGTATGTGTGAGATATACATCAAGTTGTCTGACTGTGTTCCAGGGGGCACCGTAAAGCCCCTGTGCCACGCCCGGGTACCAGCCTCAGCGGCGTCCTAATGGCTGCAGGTTCCAATGTGTGCCAATTTTCAACAGATTTTGGGGGTTAAGGCCCCCAAAAAAGCCCCAAAAGGTGGGGAAAATCCTTAGACGAACAAGAGTCTTATAATAATATAAAGGTAATACAAATGTTGTGGGATTTTCAGCTCACTATGCTGTACGGCTGTAAAATTTGATTGAATGAGCCACGCTATAGGCAGAGTAGGCGATTGCCAAGGGCCTTGGGCTTTGACGTGGGACCTCCATAACCATAACATCCCCTATACGCTAGTCTACCAGTCAAGACAGGCAGCAAAATACTAGCCTCATTGTTCATTGGATATCATTTTCACTCACCTGCAATTAAACCAATTAATATTGCCGTTTCAATGCGGGTCCTACCTTATGAATATTTGCTGTACCAAACACATCCTTCAGGTGCTGAAACAAAAGGCTAAATAGGCAAAGATGTCCAGCTCCTAATGCAGGTGTGTGAGTTGCCTATATCTATTTTGGAGTGATTGCAATGTATTCTAAATATAAACTTCTGTTCTGTTGATCAGCGTCATTTCTGGACAGATCATTCATCGCTTTATTACGAGTCTGACACGTACAGACGCGACGCTTTGAATTTGTGTGTACAATGAATGACATCGCGTCAAAGCAAAGAAGTTTGTTTTCAAAATCAAAAAGCAAACACTAAAGCATTTTTTGTTTCAAAAATAATAAAAAAAGAACTCTGATGTATCTTCTAAATTCTGCTGATGATTACATTACTGCTCTAACCCTTAATTTCAGTTTCAATTAACTAGAAACGTCTCTCACTTCCACTTGATTTCTGTATATGGAGCATATTTAAGGTAGCAATACATAATATCACATTATTAATATTAATAATAGGACAATATCTGTAGTCAATATTGATTAAATGTGAGGGGGAAATCCTGTCCATACCCAGCTTATCACCAAAAAATTATAAAAGAACCGAATAAATTACTGGGCAAATTATTGCAAAATATTAATACTAATAACAATAATTAAAAAAAAATCTGGATATAAGCTTTGCAGTGAGCTGGTCCTCACAGAATATTTTCGCCCAGTTTTTCCAAGTTGGATGTGCCGTTCTTGGCATCTCAAGTGCTTAACCTCACTTTCGGGGGCACAGTTTGTTACCACTTACAGCTGTTGACGCTGTGCAGGTCTACGTACATTTGTGTTTTTTGTTACGTTGCATTAATGCCTTACGCTGATTAATGTTGTTGTATCTGAATCCATGTATCATTCATTAATTAGTTTTTTTAATTTAATATTGAAAGTTTAAAAAATTAGAAAACGGCTCCTTTTTCGCCTTTTCATTTTTTCCCCCAAAAAACGGAAAACATAATTGTTTGTTTTTGTTCAGAGGTGGAAAAATGAATAGCGAAAATGAAGCACACATGAATGCGTACTTTATAAAACGATCATGTTGCCATTTCCATTTGAAAATTTTACTTTCAATATAATACATACAGTATTCCAGTGCATGTGGCAAAAAGGTTTGCATACTTGAGCTAAGGAAAGAGGGTTGAACTAGAAATGCAAACAGTAAAATTGTGTTTGTACAGTAAACGGGTTGTGTGTGTGAGATCATGAAGACTTGAATTTGGCTTATTCAGTACTCATGTTATACCTATCTATGCAATCCAGTAGAATACTGCAATACATTTAATATACAACCCCTATTAATCAAACATTTTTTATTATTAGGCTATGATTATTATTATTATTATACCCTCACTGGGGGCTGAGCCGCCCTAAAATGAAAATCCTAGAATCACCCCTGCCAGCGGCATCGCTATTGGTTGGAAATTGTGTGTTTTTCTACCCCATGCTTAGCCCTTGGTTCGGGCTGATCATCACACAGCGAATGCTTCGCAATGTTGAGGAAACGCTCGAAAGGGAACGTCTCTGGTTACTATAGTAACCTTGGAGCGGGAACGAGACATTGCGAAGGTCGCCGTGCTCTCTGCTCGATCAGTAGCGCAAGCGTTCAGTCTTAGATTCTGAAGCAATTGTCGCTCTCACCGCATTATATACTGTCCCTACAAATGTCAGTATTTGCATGTGATTTGCACAATTGCCCACGTTATTGTACTGGTGTTATCCTATATGCGACGCTCTTATTTTTTCCAGGTGCATGTCAAACACTATAACAATTTACAAAATAGCCTACAGCAATACCAATGTCTCCACAGCTTTGACTGATACTGTGTAGTGCTCACCCTTATATTTGATAGACCCACAATAATCTCATTGTTAGAAGCATTAAGCCAGCAGATAAATCTATACATAAGATTTCGTAACAGAGCTCTAAAAGTGATTACTCTTGCACTCACAAACATTTCACTTGCAATATGCCATCCAGGTCTCCTTAGTAAAATTCTCATTGTATCATTACAAGCTACTGGGAGCTACTGTAAACTAGCTGTTCTATAGTTGAACCACAAATGAGCAGTATAAAGTATTTTAAACAATGACGCCACCTCATCTGAACGGAAACTAAACTTACTAAACACACTTCACTTGACAAAATGAGATTATTATCTTGGCAAAATTTTAAAGCTAGTACTCATCTTCATAATGATGGCATTCATAAGGTGTACACACATTTAGAATAATACATTTCTTATCTCGATAAGTAATCTGTATTGCAATACACCAATAAACATCCAGTCTAACCACCTGAACCAGTGTGTCTAAGTTTCTTTTCCACAGTATGGCTACACCCCCAGATATCCTACCTTTAATTAAATCCATACCAAGATCTGTTGTGGATTCACCAGCACCATGAAAATTATCATTAAAAGAATTCAGTTTATCCAAGTCTTGCATTGCTAAAAATGTCTCTTGCAAGCATAAAATGTCACAGTTCTCCAAAAGGCTGTCCACAACCATACGGCGGGCTTTATCCCCAATACTCTGGCCCACACGCAGACCACGACAGTTGTATGACACAACCCGAATGTCCATGGGGGGCACCAGTACTTGTTTATTCTACCCGAGGGTGCACACTTTTACTAGCAGGTGAGAGCAAGAGACACTTGACGTACTGGTTTTGTTGTTAAAGACAGACTGTGAAAGTTCCGTCTCTAGATCCTTCAGCTGGATCTCCTCTCGTTCTCTACCATCCCTCCAGAATTTCATAACCACCTCGCTGATCATCGCACTCCCAGCATTGCTATAAAAAAAACACAACAACTGGCTTACAGAGGCTGCTTGGTTGAAATGTATGGGTCAACAGTTTTCTGTGCCGATGCCACTGACCTGAGGAAGATGAAGATGGCCTGTCTGTACGACACTCCGTTCAGGTTGTCGTAGAAGTCCAGGTAAGGTTTAATACTGTCGATCAGCCCGGGATGCATTTTATCCATTTCATCAAAGATGAACAGTGAACGCGGGCAGATGGAAACATTCCCTCGTATCCACTCTGGTAACTGGATCTAAACAAAAAATGTGTTAATGTGTGTGTGTATATATATATATATATATATATATATATATACTGTATATGACAGTGAAGGGACACAAAAAATATATATATTAAAATGTAATTGTATTCGTTTTGGTGCAACAAAATACATGTCATTTCCACATATTTGCATATTGTGCATATTCACTGTATTACTCATTACCTTGTACGTGTCAATGTGAGCCTTGTGAGGAAAGTGTGCTGTCGCTGTAAACAGGTGAACGAAGTTGCTCCTCATCTTGTTCTTGTAAATATTTTCTGCTATAAGTTGGCTCACGAAGTTCTTCCCGGTCCCGGTCGAGCCGTGGAGGGACAGAACCAGCGGTTTCTTTGGGTTCTTACTCTCTATGAAGCCTGTGACGGCTTTCAGGATGACCTGAGCAGCGACATGCTGCCCGAAAAGCTTTGCTTGAATGTCTTTCTTCAGTCCTATAGATGAGAGGACCGATTTATAGCAACTACATGTTGGCACGCTGTACTGATTTACAAAACATGCAACATTCCAGCAATATCCAATTGTTGAGACATAAACATATAAAGTAAATAATCTTAATAAACCTAACTTTTTTACATAAAGCATGAGAAAGCATAACAAAAACTTTCATTTTGCTCCCTCCTTCAAGTCAACTGCTTGGTTCACGCATTGTTGACTCGAGAACTGTGGTAACAAACCATTCTCATTGTACTGCTGTTGAACTACTGCCATTGGTTCACTGTTATATATTTCCAAAACGATTGGTTTGTTCATCTATGCTGTTCAACAAAATACATGTCGGTGTTCTCAGTTCAGTGTTTGACTGGAGCGCTGCTACAGAGCTATGGGAGCATATGGGTAGCACATTCAATTTGAAATGGAATGTGCAAAATGGCAATGCAATATGTAAAATGGCATATATCTGTATTTACATTTCCCCATACATATTTGCAACATTTGGTGAAAAATGAAAATTCAATTATATAATTTATATTGGCCATTTACTACTTTTAATATGTAAATGAAATGCATATTGTAACACTTTATAATTAATTATTATTATTATGTCCAAGCAAACATTGCATCAAAACTATTATTTAAATGGTATTTTCCTAAACGCATTTAGACTCAGGTGGGATAGCATTTTTATCAAAATACCGCATGATCAAATTGTATCAAAATGCAGTGTGAAATTCAAAATGCATTCTGAGCCAAAGATATAGAAAAAGGGTTGCAAAATGGTGATTTAAATGTCTCTTTTTTTCTTAAATGCATTGACACATTCAAGACTGGGGTGTGACGAGACACGAAATTGGGTTCACCAGAATGAGACAAGACAAGATTTGTACACAGTATTTTAAAGAAATCCTCAATGACGAAATCATGACCGGGAAAAATAGACTGCAGGTGCATTTTGAAATGTTTTAACTAGCCTAATCATCTTGTATGAATTATCACATGCAGTAAAAGATCACTGTGTCTCATTTAGAAGGCTGCACCCTCCGGAGGTCACATTCGAAGGCTGCATACGTCATCGAGGCTGTCTCATTTCAGAAAAGCAAGTAGGACACTTCGAATGCGACCTTCTTTCACAGGAATTGCATGAGGAGGATGCATGAGGTGTATCCTACGCTGCTACAGATAACCCACAATTCTTTGCGTCGCCGTGAACAACCGTTGTTAATTTGAAAAATGCCGGCGCCGGCAGATGTAATGTACACACAAGCACAGATGTGGTGTTTACAACTTACCTTAATTCGCCTCGGTAAAAATGGATAAACTTTGTTTTTAATATACTCCTCCTTTTCATCTCTAATAGATGCCTGCTGTAGGCACGCTGCAGCTCCTCAAACACTGAACAAAATAAAACAAGTAAAAGCATTTTTTTTCAAATTACTTTCCAAATTTAGAAATAATTTTCCTTTATTTAAGTAGTGTGAGAGCGCAACGATGCTCTAAATGTGTTGGCATAGCAACGTGATACTTCCGGTTTCCTTTTCCGCCTGTCCTACGAAGGCCGTCTCGTTTAATTCTAGGTTGAGGACACTTCGTACATGCATCCTACAGAGGATGCGACCTCCGGAGGGTGCAGCCTTCTAAATGAGACACAGCTCCTGTTGCACACCGTTTCCAGGAAACATGTCGTTCAACCCGGAAACCCTATGTTGCACACCGGTTTGAGCTTGAACATACCCCTGTTTTCCGGGTTTGAGGTTTGACTAAGTGATAATTAAATAAATAACTGCATACGCCTAAATAATTTAATAAATACTCCAAAAAAAACCCCTCTTCATTTTATAAGTCATTGTATCATTTACATTTCCTCATGTGTTTTTATTTATTAATGTTGCAGGTTTCGTTCTGTATATCACACGATTTACTCAAATTGTATTCTGATCAAATCCACTCTCTTTTACCTTCTTCATTGAAGTTGATCCACATCTTATTACAGACTTCCTTAATGAAAGACCAGTTTACCAGAGCAGCAACTCCTGCAAAAACTCCAATAACGACGGGCACAGGAGGGAGCATCTCGCTTGTCGTTTCACATCGATACAGAAAAGCTCAACTCAGACTCAACTCAGCCTCCACTTCCTAGTCACATGAGCTTTCTGAATTTTGAATCTCGTTTTGAAGTTTGAAGACTGCTTTGAGATGAAAAATAAATAAATAAATAAATAAATAAAAATAAAAAACGAAATATATTATTTTATAGTGTAAGACCATGGCTGGGATGAATATCAAGAAAAAGTATTTTTTTGCATTATGTAAACCAAACAAAAACCAAAGAACTAAACACGACTGCTGTGTTTTAATGCATACGTTAAAAGCTGTTCTTGATGAGTATGATATTCATGATAACTCGATTATAACGTGTTAAATAAAGTACTTATTCTCGGGAAATACTCAAAAATGGATGGATAAATTATTTGCTTGCGTTGTAATTACTACCTATGTACTCTAGGGTGCCTGCAATGTCCACATATTCTGTTCTGCACTTTTAACCATCCGAGGGAGTGAAAAAAGACATTCGGAGATATAGCTATATAAACCAATGCAATTAATTAATTAATCAATAATAATAATAATAATAACAATAAAAGGAAACAAATGACATGTATATGAAATATAAGTAAACGGGAAAACACTTTTTAACTTTTAATTTATTATTATTATTTTTATATTAATTGTATATGCTGAACAATTAACATTCAAGAGTATAACAAAAGGTTACAAACATGGTGTTCAGGTTTTCTGGAAGAAAAAAAAAGAAAAGGGAAAGAAAAACAAATAAATAAATAATAGTAAGGAGGGTATACATCAATAATCACAATAGAAAAGAGACGGACCTTGAAGAGTTTGGAACTCTCACTGAATTTTTTATTTTTTTATTTTTATTTATTTTTATTACAAAACTTGTAGAAACATACAGAAACAGGGAAGCGAGACATGAATATATCACAACAAAAAGCAATTATAAAAATAAAAACAGAAAACAAATATTCTGTAGTTGCATGTCAAATTAATTATTGAACACTCACTGAACAGCTGACGCGTGACGTCATTTCCGGTTCTGCCATTTTGCGGATCGGTCTCGAGCTGCGGGTGTGTTTCTTGCCGAATACCGATAATATAGTCTTAACAATAAAGCCCAATTAAACCGGCAAAATGTCAGATTTTGATAGCAACCCCTTCGCGGACCCGGACTTCAGCAACCCGTTTCAGGTAATGTCATTTCAGTGCTGTTTTTCTTACAGTGACTCGGCGTACCGCTTTTTTTACAGAGAAAGTCGATACATTTTCTAGTCATTTCGAACACGTCCATATAAAATAAAGTAATTTAATCCTAATATCTTAAGTGAAAATGACAGAACCGTTTTTAACCGGTCTGCTGTGTGTAAATATGTCATTATTGGGTCTTTGGTTTGTTTGCTAGCTATTACTATTACTATTATTGGGTTTCTGGATCAGATTATGTGGTAGTTTTATGTTTAGTCAGTCCAAAACAAACCTGTAATTCACTATAAATTACATTTGACCACATTAGCATATTCTCTGTAATGGCTTTATTATGATTATTAAGACGAAGAGGCTTTGGGTTTGGTTTCTAACCTGGGTTTCATTTGGCGTGTTTTGGGCTTTGTTTTATTTTAGAGTGTGTTAACTAGTGAATTATCTGCTGTTGTTGAAGCTGGCAGTGTGTGGAATGAATATGATCACTTTACAGTCTGTCTGCACGTTTACACAGGGCTGAATGATGTGTGTGTGAGAGAGAGAAAGTTGTGTGTGAGAGTGTTTGTTTGTTTGTGTGTGTGTGTGTGAGAGAGAGAGAGTGTGTGAGAGAGAGTTTGTGTGTGTGTGTGTGTGTGTGTGTGTGTGTGTGTGAGAGAGAGAGAGAGAGTGTGTGTGTGTGTGTGTGAGATGGATGGATGGATGTAGGCCGCGCTGTTTTGATCAGTGATATGACTGTGTTTGTGGCTCCGGTCAGCTGAGGGAATTAGATCCCTGACAGCCTGTTTTATTTTTAATTTTGTGCAACTACGTTGAGCAAAACGTGGAAGCATTTGTCATCTATGCACCTTTTGTGCACCTATGCACCAAAGCTGATGATTTTGTGAAGTAACACTGTTTTGTAAATAAGTTAATCCTATCAAGCCTACTGTGTCATATGTGATAATTCTTAGCCCTTTTTATGTTACCAACATGATCAAAACTTTGCTGTTAAACCTGTTGCACCCAATCTACTACTCACAATCCAGCAAGTAAAAGGTCTTTTAGTCTAATTGTACAAACGTCAACTTTAAGCTTGTGCTTTTTGCTTTGAAATCTATGGATTTTTAAAATAAAGTAGATATAAGAATAACTTTGATATTGTTAATAATATTTCAAGATGAACACCTACTGGACTAACTTCGCTTTACTTAATTATCCAGACATAATTTTTTAGGAAAATCATGTTCAAATGTGAGTTTCAAATATGATCATCTTCTGAGGAACGTTTATTGTTCATCTCACAATCATTATTGTATTGAATTGCATTACATGTGTTGATAATAAAACTAATTATACTAATAAACATACAAATATCAGCATCTGCGCCAAATTGCATCTTTTTAATCTGTTTGGGCCTGAGGTGTTTTTCTAAATATTCTCATTATATTAAACTATATGAGCCATAAAAGCATGATGTATCAAATGTGATACTTAACATAAAACACACATGCGAACTCTTTCTTTTAAATTTCATCTTAAGGTCCAATTAATTGCCTTTTTCTTTTAATAAAAAAAATGGACTTATTTCAAATGTCAGGCTTCACAGGTTAATACACAAAGGCCATCTGCCTCGAGTTTTTCCTCTCTCTTGTATTCTCCGGGGAGAGTCTGTATATTTGACATTACAGGTGTTGTAGACTCACAGGTGGGATCGGACCCGTCTTGGAGGTGCGGGGGGGACAAATGCAAATTCATGTTCAGCAGATTGTGGCCTTTGTTCGGCCGGATAGGACATGATCATTTAGACCTCTTAGAGAAAGAACCTTTGCTTTTGGTCACCCAGGTCTCTCTCTTTTCCTCATTTCCAATATCAAACCACTCATGTTTACACACACACACACACACACACACACACATCACAATCATCAGCAGCAGTTGACCTTCTCAGAAGTGTTTTTATTAAAGCATACCTCTTAAGCCGTCATTAAACTCAACTGGTGAGATGAGGTATTTCGTTAAGTGATCAGCAGTAATGGTATGCGGTCCGTCGAGGAGTTACCGTGGTAACTCAACACTGTAGCTGACCGACTGTAGCGGCACGTCTCAATAATTAATGCGGCCTCCTGATTGCATTGTGTTTCTGACTCACGTCTTCAGTGAATACAGACTGTCTTGCGCTTGTAGATTCTTATTGTCTTGATTAATTTGCTGGGTTTGCTTCCAGACCTCAAAATAAACCAGACCTCAGTAAATATCTGACAATCCTGGGTTTGGTGTTAGCCCATCAGCATGCAGACAATGGCATCTCGGTTGGATCCTTTTAAGTTTATGCTGCTGTTATGATGCCACATGTTAGTGGACTTAGTTCAGAACATTTTAAATGACATGTTTGATTTGTTATAGTCTGTACATAGTGACATAAATGAACTTTCTGAACTTGATGTGTTGGTGTTTAAGGTGCTTTGAACTTAGCTTATCGAGACTTTAGAGCTGGAAAAATTCATTTTACCTGTTATTTGCATATCAGGGACTATTGATTTAATTATTTTCACGGTACTGTGTCAGAGAACAGGCACGGAGACGAAGATGACTTTAAATCAGTCTTTAATAATTCCACGAATAGGTAAATCCATATACAGGAAGGATGTTGACACACGTAGATGTTAACGAGACCCGACAAACTGAAACTGAACAGACAGGAACTTAAATACACAGGCAAATAAGGGACTAATGACAAGACACAGATGAACTAACTAAAGTGATCAAGGGGAAACTAGGTCAACAGAAGTTAAACAGGGGAACAGAAACCGAAGGAAACACAAAAGTCCATAACTGTGACAGTAGTGAGCGTGGTGGCTATAATATACAGTATAGCCTCTTGTACCTGGTTACGTATTGGCATGAAATTAACATGTTAATTGTAATTTTTAATTTTCTTATTATTTTCTTATCATAATATTTTGGTGAAGCGACACACATCTGATGTATATACACTGTGGTGACGTATGCCAGATTTCTTCAGTCATTTTATCGGCATAATCTCCACCGCTTTCTTACATTCGACTGCAAGATCACATTTATATCTGCCTCCATCCAATTTACAATCGCTGAATTGAACCACGTCCGTACATTTTTTATTTTCATTTCGATGTACACAACAATACAGAAGAATTGATCTGTCGCTACTCTTGTTACATCACAACTTAAATTAATAATAAACATCATATTTCCATGAACAATAAACAGTTGTGTTATAACAAATCAGTCATGTTGTTACAATATATTTAGGCTAGTTAGAGTAGATTTATAAGGAATAATTCACCCCAAAATGAAAATGTTATCCTTATTTACTCTCCTTCTTGACATTCTCATGATCTCATGAAATTAAACAATTTAAAGAATTTTATTTATTTTTTTTAATACCGTTCCTTCCATTTATAGTTTCCATTCATGCATTTGGCAGACACTGTTATCAAAAATGACCTTAAATTGCATTTAAGGCATACATTTGATCATTTAATGCATTCCCTGGGAATCACCATTACAAACAGAAGGGGCTTCAAGCTTTAAAATGGATGCACAAGTGCCATAAAATCCTTTTTCCATAAAAATATTTTTTTGAAGGTTTTTGGAGAAAAAAAACTTTCTATTTCAAAATGTAATGTTTAATTCAATGTACTGCTTTGTTCTTTGTATAATTGTCAAAAAATCTGACTGAAATGAAATCTAAACATCCACCTTAACTCTCCTCGTTATGTTCGTGAGAGAAGAACTTATTATTTCTGATTCTTGAATCAGATTCTCTTCAAAGAATGATTTCAGCTCACAGGGAGAGAATTATGAGTGAATACTGACTCAATTTTCAAAGTCATGCAGGTTTGAAATGACGTGAGGGTGCGTAAATGATGACAATTTTTATTTGTTAACTTCTTCAGAAAAGACAAATGCTTTGAGTTGTTGGAGGATGAGTCATTCCTCACCAGAGTTTGGTAATCATTGTTAAACATTTCCGACTCTAAAGGCAGTTACTAACAGAGCAAACAGTCTTTATCCTGGATGAGATCCTGGTAGAAACAACTCTCACGTTGTGCTGAAACAGTCTGAAATGATGCAGCCATCAACAAGTAGGCGTGCTGCAGGATGTTGCAGAACCGCTGCACAGTGTGTGTGTGTGTGAGAGGGAGAGAGAGAGACTAACTGAATGCATGCATGCATATGGCCTTGACTGAGCACGTTTTACCTTATTACAGTCATTTCATAATGCAGCAGCTGTCAAACTCATAAAACTAGTCAGCTGTGTGTGCAGTGTCACAGCGGTAAGAAAGTAGGCTGTCTAAATGAGGTCCATCTGATTCTGTTTGTCACTCAGTGGTCGTAATGAGAACAGAGAGGGAAAACTCTAATGATCTGATTAGATGGATGTTTCTGGAGATGTGGGCTGCTCTGCAGATGCAGGAAAACCTATTACAGCGAGCCGCTGTCACCGCGTGTGTGTTTGCCTTCATTCACACTGTTTGTTGAGGGAGCGGTGACTAAGAACAGAGTAGTTTTATTTTAGTTTCTATCTAAGTCACTCTCGTCATCAGCAGAGGAACGGTAATGTCACGGGACTCCGAGATGATTTCACTGAACGAGAATTTCTGCTCAGATCTTCTGATTTCTCAGAATGACCGTCTGTCTTTGAGCAAACACTTTAGCCCTGTTCCAAAACCTAGTTAGCTGTATTCTAAGGCAGTATCTGCAGTGAGTAAAAGTGACTGATTTGTAACGCTTCCGGCAGCAAACACTATACATATTTGATCAAGAAAAGACAACAGTGTGATACTGTATTAGCATTTCATACAAAATGGTAATTCAAAGTGACTGAAACATAAGTGATTAAAAAATTATCATAAAATGTACATAAGAAATAAATAAATAACAAAACTCCAATAAATAAATAAAAACAAAATATATATACACATATAATTTTATATTAAATCAAAGTTATTAAATATCATAAAATGCACATA